TTATTCCGGATGTTGAGATTGTAGATATCATTTCTGTACATTATTTTCTCATAACGATAAGTTGGGCTTCAAGACAATAGACTTTTGTGAAACAGACACAAGGCATGGAACTTGAATTTTTCTTTCATTGTAAGTCATTTTTACTCATTCAGTTTGTGGGAGACATGATCATATTTTCTTACACCATATACATTAAATATAAGAGTTCACCACGATTTTTTCATGTGTAAAATATCTGTTTTGGGAATATTTGCTGTGTATTCAGTGCATCAATTTATATGACGAGAGTAGCCTTGCAAAAAGGTAAATATCCTATATGGTGCACTGTTTGGAACTTTTGGTGTAATAATGAATATTACTGGAGTTTTTTCCCAAAACCAAATCGGTATTTTTAACACCTTGACACGTGTTTCGATCACCAAGTGATCATCTTCAAAGAGGAAGATAAAAATTTAAGATTTAGGTCGTTTTTCTCACTTGTTGCGGAATATACTATTAATATTAGTGTTAAGAATATTTTTAACGCGCTACTGCGTAAACATCATCTTTTAATAATTTTGACAACCACTGAAAACGTCACTTTTAATGACAGTTGTACAAAAAAGTGTTTTTTGAATACGTTAATTATGGATTTCTATCAAGTATCGGCCAATTCCATCATATATTTTAACCAGAATGAATGAACAAAATCAATTTCTCACCAGAATCGATGCTTTTAAGGGGCGAATAAAGATATCTTGGGGAGAGGTGACGTTAAACAACCCTGATTGATGACAGAAGCCGACGAAGAGTGACCATCTACCGACATTTGTTTTCTTTTCGAAGCACTCTATACGTAGTAAGAAAGAAACCCTCGTAAAGCCGTTCTGTCAGAGTTTCCTCATAACATAAAAAACGCATTCCCAAGGCATTATTTTTATTCGAGGTTATGTGAATCTTGAATGCCGAAAATAACCCTGCCTGAATATAGTACTGAAATTATTCTTATGAAATCGAATAATAAATAGTAATATCATTTGGAATGAAAACCATTCATACCTTTTCTGCTCTTGCAAAACTCTAAAGTGCTCTTGCATTACAAAATTTTACTTACAACATTTTTCAGTATTTGCTCTGGAATAAATTACTCAATACTAAAGACAATGTATATATCATGAGTGCGTTGTTGTTTATGTACAGGATTGGCAATTTGACAAGTTCGTACCCACAATTTCTCCCAGCAAATAACGNGTGAATTTGTCAAAGGAATCACTGACTGGGCAAGCATGAATAAATCACTGTTCAGTAGGTATAGATATTTAAAATTTGATTAACAATATCTTGCTCTTAAAAAATCGCCCAAACTCAGCTATATCTTCAACATAGCAGGGATACTGGAAAATATATATTTATAACAAACCCAATAAGTGGTCGAATGAAACCTGAATTCTGCTATTTCTAAGTCTCAGCAACGAACGACTGTCTGACGAGTTACGCGTTCACCCTTGTAAATAATTTCAGCGGTGGTGGAGACGATAGAAGGAACCAAGGAACCACGAAAGGTTCGACGGTGGGGACGACGGTGGGGGCGATGAGAATCGGATCATCCATTGCCGAGTGATTAGCAGTTTTATATTTGTTTCAATATAACCTGCAACCATGAATATCATAAATACAAAAAAACTTCATCTTCCACCAAGGACTTCAATGAGATCTGGATAGAGTCTGCGGAATTCGAAGAGAAAATCTTGATATTCCTCTCACTTTTTCACTTTCGGGAGGAGCTGAAAACTACAACACGAATATCGTCTTGCTCATTATTATTATTATCAGTATCGAAATGGAATTATCTGATTTGAGAAATACGTATTTTTATCAGCTCACAAGACATGACCTCTTGAGATGTATTTGCGATGAAATATGAATCACTTAATATTTGAAGCATAAAAATAATGTCCATATAACATCACATTATGAACATTTCACTGATGATCACATAATACATAAACTGCTTTATAATAAATCAAAATAGTTGGTATTTCCTACAGTTTTGAAATGATGGTCTTCTATCTGGTCTTGAAATAACTTTATTTGGATTACCAAGAACTTTCTTTTTTGAATATTTACTCAATATATGTTTGTTTTTTTATCGACCTTTTTTGGGTAATTGTTACCTTCCACAATCTGAAAAAAAATATAAAAATTATAATGGAGAACTTTATACAAGTGTAGAAGGGCAAACTTTTTAGTTTACCCCGATAAGTTACTGCGTAAAAATCAAAGTATTTTTCACAAAGAAAAATCTTCTATTTATCAGTAACTTGTTA